TGTCGGAACGGCAAGCTGTGAAAACAGCGTGTATGTAACCGACCGTCAGCTACCGGTCGAAAGAGAAACAGAGAAAAGGAGTCTGGAGAGAAAAGGGCGAACGCGCGACCGAGAGAAAGGGAGACAGACCGAGAGAGAGAGAGAGAGAGAGAAAGAGAGAGAGAGAAAAAGAGAGAGAGAAAGTAACAGCTCGGTTTCACGAGGATCTCGCCGGTGTATAAGCCGTGAAACGAAAACCGAAAGGTCGTTAGGCAGGGGCAAACCTTTTGTCGCTTCGATGCCGACGTCGAAACCGCAAAATGTCCGGCAAACTCGTTTCTTTTTCGTTTTCTTTCGGATGACAGGAGCCACGGTGCTTTTTTCCTTCTTCGAGATGCGAATTCCGCGAGGCGTCAGACCGTTCTAATCGTTCCGTTGACGTGTCTTTGCTCGCGATCAGTCTCGTCTCGTTATAGAAACGCAAAAACTCGATGAAACGTACGCAGGATTTATATCGCTCGGACGAGAACGTTTTCCAGCGTTAATTTCCGTAGCGCGTTCGAAGAAGCAACCGGCTGCTTGCGAAAAATATATACGCACAGAAGGTGGACAACGATTACTCGTTTCGATGATCAAACATCGTGACGTCCTGGATGTTCCGCGCGTTTCCGATATTAATCTCTATCACGGTGCAGCTATTTGTCAGTTGTCGAATTCACGGTGATCGTCTGCGGCGAATGTGAAAAGCGCAGCAATTACGCGACGAGCGTCGATTAATCAGCAACGTTTATTGATAACTTTTAGCATCTTTTGTCGTTGAATGCGCGACACTGCGGTGGGAAACGCGGCGGAGGCCGGGGAAAATTGCGAAATTTCGAAAAATCATAATGAACTGTGCCGGCGCTGGTACGCGCGTCGTATACGTCCAGAAGTGAATAACCGTAATCACGTTTAATTGCTAATTTCGTATGGAACATCGACAAATTTACTCGTCCTGCTGATAAATTATGTTCTATTTACTATAGCGGATATTCGCTGCTTTGAACGTCTAAACTTGACGTTGATCGACGCAATTATTTTACACAAACGAAATTTTATAGACGCGATGATAGTGTGCGACAGCGATCACGATTTATTTCTTGCGTCGTTATTAGCTATCGCCTGTTGTTTCGAGGCACGCCGTTTTGTTACTTTGAAAAGAAATTCTCCGTGTTTCGAAACGTTGCTCTCTAACAAGTATAAAATCAAAGTAGTTCGATCGAATCACTGATTTCCAAAGCAATTGTAAATCTTTTCTTCTGAAATCTAGTGGTTTCTTAAACGTTCGAAGCGTAAATATATTCGAGGCTCGCGCGTAGTATGTAACGAACACAAATCATTGAACAGAAAAGTGACTGGTGCTCTTTTCCAAGTCAATGATTCGACGAGTGATGTGATTAAAACGCACGATTCGGATCGTTCACGAGCAGAATCGTCCAACCTGTCGACAGGAGGAGACTCGTTGATGGGTTCAGGATCGGAAGACGAAGACGAGGATGGTAGCGCTCACCATCATCACAGTGGTGTCGGTGGCTCTCATTTGGGACCTCATAATCTGGGTCCAGGTGGTCCTGGTGACCAAACGGTTGGTCATACCGGCGATCTACCTCTTGGAAGCGATCCTTGCAAGCAGGAAGACTCCGAGGATCAAGGTAAGTGTCATTTCTATCGTAACACTTTCGACAGTAAACGTTTGGATCGTTCGTTTTACGCGAGCGAGCGATTAAAAACCGATCGAAGTACGTCGAAACACGGTTATCAGAAATTACTATTATTGTTAGCGCGACAAACTCGATTTTGAAAGGACGATCGATCGGCACCGACTAACGACTTAATCGCGGCCAATCTTCCCCTTTCGTGGAACCCTCGAGCGAGGGTGGAAATTCAGTGGCTTGACCTGGAGCGTCAGTACGAATTACTAAGCGCGTCAGGTCTTCCCGGTCTATTATTCGCTTCTGCTCTTTTATCGCGAGCGCAACAATGACCCCTTCCCTTTTACCTCTCTCGAAGCACCGGGTACAAGCAACTTCTATGCTTCGGCAAGAGGAAAAGAGGGGTGTCTTCGAGAAGGGTGGCCCCTGTAGCGCGGTGTGACACTGTCCAAACATTTTCTTTGTCCCGTGGTTAAGACCTCCCCGGGTATATATAGATTATCGTGAAGAGTTGGGCTCGAAAACTACGCGTATATGTGTATAGGTGTGTGTGTGTGTGTGTACGTTACATGCGTACACATTGCACATCGTTCGTGTGCACACCCACACGTACACATCATGGAGTGTAGCTTTCGAGCGTAGAACAGCCACACGATAATCCGATGGGGGTTTCGTATCGCTTCCGGGGGATTGGCTGCGATTGTTGTTACCTCGATCCAGCCGATCCAAATTCCGAGATACGTATATCATGCACGCGTGTCCGTGTCTATAGATTGTTAAGAAAGCGTCCGCGGAAAACAGAAAAAAAAAAGAAAGAACGTTGCCATTCATTCGGCCTGTAAGCGGGATCCCCCGGAGACCTCCGCGCAAAGGGAAATATTTAGAATGAAATTCTAATCGGTTGTCGATATACCGCGAAACCGGTGAAATTAGGCTGAATAATCAAGGGCCACTTGTTTCGCGAGAAACGAGCGTTTACCCTTGGTGCGTGGGATCGATTATTAAACTGCTTTGTTTGCATTGGCCGAAGGTTCCCTGGACGGAGATCCCGAAACGAGGGATAGCCAGACGGAGAACAAAAGTCCAGACGGTGGTGCCGGTGGTGGTAGCGGCGACGGCGGTGCCGGTTCGAAGAGGCGAGGTCCGAGGACGACCATAAAGGCGAAACAGTTGGAGATTCTCAAGTCTGCCTTTTCGTCCACTCCGAAACCAACCAGGCATATCAGGGAACAATTAGCGAAAGAGACTGGCTTACCTATGAGAGTGATACAGGTTCATAGAATCTCATTCTTTCGTACTTACGATCGCTTGCAATCGATTTTAACGCGATAGTTCGTCTGCTACGTTTACCACGTTTCTGTCGTACTACGTATTCCGATACTTTATGCATAGCAGCGCGAGATTCTATCTTCTTACGACGAGCGAACGAATTAAAAGAACGATTCCTTCCCATAAGGCCGGTAAATCGAATGAAAAACAGCGGTTCGTATGAATGTTCGCAGGTCTGGTTTCAAAATAAGAGGAGCAAAGAGCGTAGGTTAAAACAACTGACGTCGATGGGCAGGAGCCCGTTCTTCGGCGGCTCCAGAAAAATGAGGGGCTTCCCCCTGAACCTGAATCCCGGTGCTTTGGGCGGCGAGGACGGACCGCACGGACCGCCGCCCGGTTTTCCATATTTCGGCGCGGAGAAGTTTGAATTTGGTTACGGCGGGCCCGTGGCATTTCACCATGAATTCTTTGGTGCTCATCCGCCCCCTCATCCACATGGACCGCCCTTCAGTGGACCAGGCAATCCTGGTGAGTCTCGACGTTTGATTTCTCTACGAAACCTCTTTCTATTCCGCTCGATTTCCTTTCACCGGCAAAGATCGTAAAAGAAAAGAAAAGAAAATGTCGTTCGCGATCGGTGATTTTATTTTCGTGGCCAGCGTAACACGGCCGATCAATGACGCGGTCGTTGGAAGGTCGTTGCAAGAGTTTCGAAACAATCGCCGCTGAAATAGTCGATTCACGTAACGCGTAGATATTCCACGTTTTACTTCGTACGATCTATTCATATTCGCGTTCACGGAATCGAAAGCAGAACCTTGTCTCGAGTTCTATCGCGACTATAATAAACATCGTAGCGGGTAGGTAGGTCGCGATAATTATGACAGCCGGGTTCGGAGATAGCAGGCCGGATACGATCCTCTCTGAATAGTACACGTAATCTGTTTCTGACAGGTTTGGACCCGGCGAGTTTAGCGGGTATGGCGGCC